ACTGATTTACATTTACTCATTTAGCAGAAGGTTTTATCCAAAGCTACTTACAACTGAGAAATATAGCAAAGGAAAAAATCTGTGAAAATCTTGTTTCTAGATAAACAAATTAGTCAAAATACTGAACTCTACTGACTTCCTTAAAGGGATAGTTCACCCAAAAATGCTCATTCTGTCGTCTCTCCCTCATCTCATTCAAACTTCTATGAGTTTGTTTCTTTCTGCTGTGTTTTTTGCTCATGTAATGAAAGTCAGTGGGGTTCAGTGTAGTTTAGTTTCCAAAGTTCTTCAAAATATCTTCTATGTTTCACAAAAGAATGAAAGTCATTCAGATTTGGAACAAAATAAAGGAGAGTAAATTATGACAGAATGATTTTTTTATTTGGCTGAACGATCCCTTTAAATCTTGTTTCTGGTCCTGTTGTTAGTGACAAACAAAATCTGTAAGTTAAACAGATGTGCGTGATGTTAAATGTGCCGCTCTGATCTCACAGTGACAGGAAGAACAGCAGCAGATCACAGGAATCAAACCAGGTGTCAGTTCAGTCATAAAGACGCTTTGAGATGAGTGTGTGTGTGTGTGTGTGTGTGTGTGTGTGTGTGTGTGTACGCATATGCACAGACGTGTCAAGACCAGATGCTTTGATATGCATGATCTCAGCACTTCTGACAAGAGTGTGTGTGTGTGTGTGTGTGTGCCGTAAAAGAAACTCTTCCTCTCCAGCTGCATAACTCCACCTTCACACACACACACACTCACACTCCTGTCTTTTTCCCTCGGATCGTCTGAGACGCACTACACACTCGCTACAGAACAGCCTGGCATTAAATTGCAGGAAGTACATGGGGGGGCACTTCCTGTTGGACAGGAAGTATAAAGGATCACCTGGAAGTATTTTCCCAGACAGACTGACTATATGTGAGCGGCAAAAAGTCTCAGTCAAAATTATCAGTCAAAATCTGTCTGTGCATGAATGTACAGACTGTACTATAGTAAAACTGATTTACCCAGGAACTGAACACAAAACAATCAGCATTGTATGAAAATATGATGAAAACAACTAATGCACTTGATGAATACGAGGCACTTGAGGTCATGTAACAGTGGACATACACATCACTTCTGCATAAGTTACATAAACTCTACATAATAAAACATGTCATTGATATTAAAGGAGCAATTTATTGCTGAAAATTGACTCTCTCAGGTCATCCAAGATTAGGATGAGTTTGTTTTCTATTTACAACGTGCTGACACAAAGTTCATCGATGCTTTAACGATATATCGTGCAACCCTAATCCAAACAGCTGATAAAAACATCACAATAATCCACAAGTAATCCACAGCACTCCAGTCCATCAGTTAACATCTTGATGGATTTGTTTCAGCTTTTGTCTTCTCATCAAGATGTTTTTGATTAAAATATATATAACAAATATGTGGCTGGAACAGGAGATGAGCTTTTTAACTGGAGGAAGCGTTTTTTATGGATTATGGACTCGTATTTTAATTAAAAACATCTTAATGATGGATTTGTTTCAGCTTTTGTCTTCTCCAGATGTTAACTGATGGACTGGAGTGGTGTGGATTATTGTGATGTTTTTATCAGCTGTTTGGACTCTCATTCTGACGGCACCCATTCACTGCAGAGCATCCATTGCTGAGACACTGATGCAATGCTACATTTCTCCAAACCTGATGAAGAAACAAACTCATCCTGATCTTGAATGGCCTGAGGGTGAGCACATTTTTAGCTAATTAGGACATACATTAAATCTTTTGTCATTAAAGGGGTCCTATTATGCTCTTTTACAAAGTCTTGATCATTTCAGTATTGAGAACTGTCATTATTTAAAGATTTTCTCTCATATGCACAGTACACTGTAAAAAGTAATTTTTCAAGGTTGTAAAATTAAGATAAGAGAACGTTTTACATGAAAATACTATTTCTACTTTAAAATTCAGTTTAATTCAATGTGTTACTTGCTGTATCTTTGTAATTATTTGTTTAAATTTAAAGGGGTCCTATTATGTTCTTTTACAATGTCTTGAATTTGTTTTGGGGGTTTACTAGAACATGCTCTCATATAACACATTATTTTTAACATAATTTACATTATTACAATAACTTTCTCCCCATCCTGGCACAAGCAGCTCGATTAGTTCTGGGTTTGATGAAGGCCCGCCTTCCGAAAAACTAAATGTGATGTGATTGGTTAGCTGTCCCAGTGCGTTGTGATTGGCGAATAGCTTAGATGGTGTTTCAGTACTGCCACGCCCCTTGCCAAAGCAGCAAATTCCATCTGCTCCGGTATAGTTAAGGATGGCTACAATATTGCCATATCAATTTGCGCCGGATTCAGACCCCGAGAATATTGAGCAAGAGGATCGCGCAGAACCTTTGCAAGATATATTAGAGTGGTAACATTTTTGTTGTTCTTTTTTTTTTTTGCTAATTCACGTTTTAGATAGGATGTCAACAACCACTTAAAAATAACTACAGATAAGTGCAACGGTAATATGTATTATGTTTATTGTTCTTTAATTCTAACATTATAACATGAATTGCAGTGAAACTGTTATACAGTTGAATTTATTTATACCACAGTCCAGTGTTTCCCACAGACTTGCATTCTCTATTTGTGGCGGCATATATATACGCAAATTAATTCTCTGCCAGCAGGAGGCGCTGTTGGAGTGGTAGAGATCAAGGTTTCCCCGGTAACGGCTTTACACAAAGCAGCGCTCCGCTCAAAAACACTGCTTTATCAGACATTACATGCTAGATTAAATGAAAATGACATCCAAAATTTTCTGAAGACAGTCGGTTTCCTTCAGAAATACAGTGATACAAAAACACCCGCACCGGGTTTCAATTTTGAAACCGCAGTGCTCCTGTTTATTCAACAAAGTCAAAGCCTTTTGGAAAATTTATTTGCGGCGGTCAGTTTTGATATTCTGGCAGGCGCCACAAATAAATCAATGTATGGGAAACACTGTAGTCTCATATTTGAATTGTAAATTCTGCTGATTATTTCATTATTGTCCAGTATTGCACTGTCAGCAATTTATAAAAACGTTTTCATAATTGTAACATACATATTTACATACATAATTATTCAGCATGTGTAATAACTTGAGGCTACAGCAGCACTTCTTCGTCGTCGTCTTGTCTGATGCACTCAACCAAGCGTTCTAACCACGACCTCGGCCCTCCCCACCCCCCAACCATTCCAGTTTCCATGGGCGGGATTTATTTTAATGATATTCTAATATGCCGCTTTGTGACATCACAAACCCCGGAAAACAACGCTGTAGTCCAAACGAGCCATTCGTTGTAGTTCTTGAAAAGGGATTTTTTTTTTAAACGAAATATCTCCCTTTGGAGTGGACTTTGAGATTTGTAAGTTTGTAGATCTTTTTCATGCCCAAACATACACACTACACACTGACTAAAACTCAAAAAGTGAAAAAGCATAATAGAACCCCTTTAAACAGTCATTCAAACAATATTTTCTAAATCAAACTGAACTGTCAGTGAAAGGCAGATCTGGTCAGAGCTCAAACTATCTTTTCTCAGGGTTAAAAAATTATCACTAACACCGACGCATTCTGTCTGTCTGTGGCATCAGAGACCACAGTTCACACTCACGCATAACAATGAGATCTCACTCTACATGTGAAAATTAAGCTAAAGTAGGCACATTCATGCAAGCATTTGTAGTCCCAGTTTGCTTTTTGCAACAAACTGATGTTCTCGTCTCCTGAATCTCCTGGTGCCTTCGAACGCTCATATACAGTGGGTACGGAAAGTATTCAGACCCCCTCTTTTTTAATAAATCTGCAAAAATGTCAACAATTCTGTGTTTTTCTGTCAATATGGGGTGCTGTGTGTACATTAATGAGGAAAAAAAATTAACTTAAATGATTTTAGCAAATGGCTGCAATATAACAAAGAGTGAAAAATTGAAGGGGGTCTGAATACTTTCCGTACCCACTGTAAACCATCAGGACAGTGTTTCCACATCGGCAACGCTGGAGACAGACAGAGCGTTTGACACACAGGTGAGAGTCTCGAACATCAAACATCACCTCACACAGGTGAGATTCTTCATGACGCCTCAAGACACAAACCTTCAAATGTTCAAGTCAACACAACTAATTAAACTGAAACTGAAAACCCAAACGAGATGCTGTGGACTCTGGAAAACTGGGGGAATTTCTGTACTTTGACCAACTAAGCAACAACAGGAGCTGACAGCTGTCAATAACAAACAGCACATACACGCAGAAAAAACAATCAATCAAAAGTTCTGATTTTGTTTAAATACTCCAAATGCATTTCAAATGGCTTTGAATCAGTGTATTTGTCAAAACAATTCAATTTAATTTACATGTGAGCTATTTTTTATATTTACAGACATCTAAAACAGATGAGATTCAAACCCACATCCACTGGGTTATCATTTTAACCACTAAACCACACACTTAAAACTAAGCAATTGTTTAACTAGATTAATCAGATGCTGAAAGTGGTCATATCTTAGTCTTTAACCACTATAACGCTACTAAACAAAGCATCCTGCATTTAGAAATGCAAACACATAGTCCTTGCAGCAAGTGTTTAACTAGATTAACCAGGTGCTAAAAGTTCACAGTTCTTAGTTTTTAACCATTTAAACCCGTTTATAAGCATTTAAACCCTTAACCAGCTGGTTTAAAGTCGATAGAACCCCGATTCTTCTGAATAATCCATTCTTAAATAAGAATCTTTCGGTCACGAATCCAGATCCTTTACCACTAAACCACATCATCCATCATCCCTGTACCTCAAACCTTCCTGCTCTTTAACCACTAAGCCACATCAGCTCACCTTTAAAGACACAATGGCCTGATCTGGAGTCGTTTGGATTCGAACCCACGACCTTCGGGTTACCCAGCATTTAACCATCTAATGATTCGAAGCACTGTTTTCGGGTGGGTTTGAGGTGTTTCTTACCCGGCTGGACCAGATGCTGATCTGGGTCTCGGACAGCACCGCCAGGTAGAAGCGTTGCGCGCTGGGCTCGATCAGGAAGGGCCGCTCGCTGCTCCGGAGCGGGCAGAGGAGTCTCCGAGGCCAGCCGCTCAGAAAATACATCACGATCCGGTTCCGACCCAAATCACTGCGACACCGGGGCAGACAGACTCTCTCCAGCGGCCTCCATCCACCAGAACCAAACAACAGTTCGACACGGACTCGGTTCAGTTCAGTCCGGGATCATATCAGCGGGATCCGGTGTCAGCTCGGATGATCTGAATCCAAAATCCGCTTTATTTGCTACCGCAAGCGAGAAAGTGTGGAAGTAAAGCCGTGTAACGGAGCCACGAAAGCGGAACCGGGTGTCGCGGGGTTTCGCGGTTCTCACTGCGCGACTGGACCGCTGGACTCTGTGTTCCGAAGGCAAGTTTTGGATCCGAATTTGTCCCATGAATCCTCCACCGTCGCCATCTTTAGTCTCTTATTTATCTCCGGTCTGCTCGCTGCTTCTGAACGCTTTAGAGCGGGAACGGCATTTAAACGCGCGGTTATGACTTTTACCGCCGGAAGGGGGCGCGACGCGGCCCACAATACATTGCGGTTAACGGAAAACTCATTTAAAATTCAAATGTATATATTTATAAAACATAAAACACACAAATATACAAAATACACATACAGCCAGATAAAATTTATAATGTAGTACTCTTTCCTTTTATTTGAAGGGATATTAGTAAAACCGAATAAAACTAAGCACAAAGAAAAAGTGGGGTCAATGATATCATTTATAAATCTAGTCAAATCTTTCCTAAATTTTTGGAAAGATTTGGGCAATGCCAAAATAAATGAAACAAAGTTTCAGTCATAATATTACAAAAATAACCACCATTTTTACATTTAAACCGGAAGTTGTCATCATCACAAGTGTGTCGCGCGCTCTCGGTCCCGCTCGATTTCTGAAATTCGTGACGTAACATAACATGTTGGCGTAAACGTCAGTTCCTCCGAGTCAGAATGAACGCGTGCGGTTCGATGTCCAGAACTGCGGCGCCTCCTGCCGGTGAACATGAGCAACTGCATGCGTTCATATTGCCACTCATATAAATAACAGCCACAAAAAAAATGATGTAATAGCTATTATAATTATAAATAGCTAAAATGTATAAAAGTAAATATAACATTTCTAAATACTTATAAAAATATATATCCATAAAATAAATGAATGTGAAAAGCTTGTTTTGATTCAGTTCTTTCTTCAGATATATGTAAACATAAACAATGTAAGTTATACTTGTCTTAGGCATTAATAAAAGAATAAGCAATTTTAGCACCATATTTCTTTATATTATTTTATTTGTTATTAAAAAGGTCCAAAATGTACACAGCCGGTCAGGAAGATTTAATGTTTTTAAAGAAGTCTCTTCTGCTCATCAAGGCTGTATTTATTTAAACAAAAATACAGAAAAAACAGTAATATTGTGAAAAATTATTGCAATTTAAAATACAGGTTTTCTATTTTAATGTACATTAAAATATAATGTATTTTTGTGATGCGCAGCTGAATTTTCAGCACCATTCCTCCAGTCTTCAGTGTCACGTAATTCTTCAAACTTTTCTGCATTGTTTCCTGACATGTAAACATTAAAATCATTCACCATTCAAAGCCTCTTGAAAATAAACATCCAGCCACAAATCAAATAATTCAGCATTTATTTTAAATTAAGCATCATAAGTCGTACACAGAAAAGGTCAAAATCAGTAAATGATCACGGAATGACAAAAACTAAATCTACAGCTTATTTCTATTAAACACATTAAAGCCTTTCATGTAAGCAGTGAGACATTAGTTTACTTTTGAAAATATCTAGAGTATAAAATATCACTCAGATGACTGCAGAGATGTGCGATCCGTCTTCGGCTCGTTTGCTGCGGATCCGTTACATTCAGCCTGAAACACAACCACGAGCTGATCATAAACGCACTGAAAACACTCTCTCTTGTGTTTCATGGACAACGATACGTTTGTGATGAACAACGTTATTTTTATGAATCTCTCATAAAAGTAAATAATGAGAGAAGTTTCATTTTTGGCTGAATTATTCTGTAAATACTCTTTCAATACTTTTAAAGTTTGTTATTAAAATAACATAAAATTACACTATAAAAAACTAATTATAATTGATATTTATATGAGCATATAATCATGTATAATTAAATTTATATCATTAAAAATAATATACTATTACATATAATTATATTATTAAAAATATATCTTAAATAATATATTAATATTAAATATGTATATATATATATATATATCATTCTAATAGTATACATTTAATTATAAATATTAAATATGAATATATATATATATATATAAAATAATATTTTATAATTTTAATAATTATATTAATTGTTAACAGTATATAATTAAGTGCATATATTAAAATAATATTCAATATTAATTAAATAATAATTATATAATATACAACAAT